CAAAATCGTATAGTATTTTATGCTAATTTATATTTACACAATTCCTTATGGAAAATTTTAATTCATAGAATTACTAATTAACTCACAATTAAAATTTTAATATTAACTTATATAATCAATTTTAATTGATATATTTAATAATTCAAATCATAATTATAATCAAAATCGTGTAGTATTTTATTGCTAATTTGTATTTACACAATCCTTATGGAAAATTTCTTTATAAAGACAGAAAAAAATCAATATATTCTGAAAAATAACATGACAAAGAAAAAGTTGAAGAAAAATCAATACAAGATGAAAAATGATAATGATGAGAAACAGAGTAATTTGTAAGAGATGAGAAATACTGAGAGAATGAAAGATAAAAGACAACAATTGACCTTAATGATATCATAGATAATGACCAAAACATTTGATCCAAATGGACATTCATTAAAAGGAGACAAAGACACATTGTTTTCTTTTTTTTCTTTTCATCACTTACTTCAATGCCCATATGCATATGATTTATCTCTACCTCTCTTCCTTCTTTCCTCCTTCTCTTTCCCTCTTTCTTCTTCTCCCTCTCTCTTATCAATATTCTTTTTCAGGTTATCAATCAACATTTCTTTTTCTTCTTTTTTTTTAATTTTACCCTGCTTTCCTGAATCTCTCGTTCATTTCATTGTTTGTTATTTTAGTAGCACTATGAAAATCTTATTATTATCAGTTAGAATTGGAAAGTACAATTATTTCTTTATTTCTTATCATTATCAGGAGTAATTTTATCCCTTATCATCATTAGTTAGAATTGAAAGACTTAATTTTTTAATCGAATAATCGAAAATTGTAATGATCCATATCAAATTTGATAATAATTTTAAACATCGTTTTAATTATCACAATTCATATTTATTGCATTTTTTTTTAAATGTTATCGGAAGAGATTAGTTGATTTTGATGAATTCAATTGCTAAATTAATTTCTTGTCCAGGAAAGGGAGGGAGAGAGTGAGAAAGAGAAAGGGAGAGAGATAAAATTGTCTGTTTTTTTTTTCTCCTCAAACATCCATATCATTTATGATAAAATTAAAGTTTGACTTTTTCTGTTCAACTATAAATTTTAGATGACAAATAATACAAAAGTAAAAATGGCTCGAATGGCTTTGGTATTTGTTTATGGGACGCTAAAACGTGGCGAACCGAATGCATCAATTATGGCTGATCTGATAACCGGAATGCATAGATTTGTGGGAACCGGTAAAACAATCAATACATATCCTCTAATTATTGCTTCTGAATACAATATACCATTTTGTTTGGACAAACCTGGAATTGGAAATGTAAGCTTCATTCATTGGATTATTTGTTATTAGAATAAAGGAAAATAAATTGGTTTGAATTAGATTTTAAGAAGAAAAGTTTTTAAAATTAGATGAAAATTAAATTCTTAAAACAGTATAGAATATTACATGGTTTAATTTGATAACAGAATAATATTGGAGAATTTTCACCTTTTACATCAACCAATGTTTCCTAGGTCTTCTCACCTGTCACTTTCTAGGTTTATCTGAGATTTCACATCTGTAAGCATTTCTTAAATTTATCTGAGATTCCACATTTATGTCTAAGGACCGTCCAGTTAAACTGCGAAAAAAAAAGTATGTATATTTTAGCGTATAAATGGCGAACTGTATGAAATTGATGAGCAAAAATTGGAAGTACTTGATGAATTTGAAGGACATCCAACATTCTATCGGAGACAATCACAGGAGGTAGTGGATTGTATCTTTCCAATTTCTTCTCATATGTAACAATTCCCATGATGATAGAGTATTAGGTTGAAATGGATCACAATGGTACCATCGTAACAGCATGGATATATATGTTACCCAGGTGGACACCAAGTTTACTTCAAGGCTCTAGTGATTACTTGGAAACATACAATTCCAATGGACCTCATAATCGGCCATATATTAAAAGGTTAGAGTCTACGATACATTAGGGTAGCATTTTTTTCTTCTCGTAAGGTTTGAATTTTTCAATGACAAACTCCGGGAAAAAAAGAAAAATTTCGAATTGGTAAAATTTTCATGAGTTAGCTACTCAAACTAACCAGTGCTGCCTGTTTTGTAATATATTCTAGAAAAAAGTCCATGCGCGGATACCTTGCGGAATTGGTATCAATTCAGTGCAAGAATTGATTGGAGCTTGGAATTAGAAAGTGTACAATCTGAAAATGGCTACGACAAATATAATTTCATGCAAATCATTAGAAATGACGGAAAAGGAAAAAGGACTCACTCTAGTCCTAAATTTCGTAGTATTCATAATTAATCAGTTTTGAAGTTTAAATACTCAAATCTGAGATTTTTTTTTGTCATTTTCCCGCTCCTAAGCTTAATGTCCAAAAGTTCAGAATTCATCTTAGATTAATCAGAAACTTCATCATGTTAAATTACTTTTTCAGGTTTGGGTCAACTTTATTTACTATTTGATCTGAATAATACGTGACGTTGGAATGAAACCTTTTTGGTTAAAAAGTTTAAAACACTTTAATATTAATGAAATCCTTTTTCAGGGAAAATTGCCAACGTTTGGACGATTTGTGAACCGTATATAGTCACTGTGAGAAATTTTAGAATTTTATGCATGTATTTGCAATTTATGTTTCGAATAAAATAACGGACAACTAAAGAGGCGATGAAACAAACTTATATAAACATCGTAAACATTACCTACATCAGAATTACATGTTACGTGTTATGTGTAAAGAGAATTATACAGATCAGCTAAACACAACATCGAGTAATATGAAAAGATTACCAGTAGTACCGATGGTATGGAAAGTCATAGCCATACAAATAAATGGAAAATAATTTCAAAGATAGAGCAATGCAACTAAATCCTCATAAATTTTTTCAATCAGCAGCTGGAAGTATCATAGTAGGCCGATCGGGATTAAGTTTCGTACAAGTTTTCTTTTTTTTAAATTAAGAAATAATTTTTGCAGAAGCAAATTTATTAACAAAATTCTTTATGCCGAAGAATAACTGAATAATCTGTTCATTCATTCGATAAAACGAAAACACTTTAGCCATAATAATGTGGTAGTAGTTAGGCAAAATATATCTTTTTTTTTTCTCTCTCTCTCTCTCAAGAATATGTAGTTTTCAAGCGTGATACTCACTTATATCCTTCCAGAAGATATGATAGCTATCGATTAGATTCTGCTGAAGGATTGTTCGGTAATAAACTCTCAGCAGAAGTTGATGCTTTATCGATCGGATGCTTGTTTCCCTCGCTAAGCAACGTTCCAACAATTACTTTTTCCTTCTCGGTCATAGGTGGAGTTGTTGTCGGAGCATTTTCATCATTTAATTGCATTAGTTTAATTTTACTTTGAATAATTTCCGGCAACATTGCGATTTCATCATAAGTAACTTTCATTGCAACTCCTTCAGGTATATTTCGCTGAACATATTCTAGGAATGCACTTGCTGTACTACCCGTAACATTTCGGATTGTAAATTGACGAATGTGTGTTCTTGTCTCGTAATGAAGTTGATTCTTCTTTTTTGCAAATTTAGCTCTCAGAGCATTTTGAATCCACCATACATATGGAAACACTTTTATGGAAACTACCTCAAGTTCTAGATGTTTGCAAGCGGTCTGAAAAAAGCACTTTTATAAAATCATATCTTCATCAAAACAAATTTGTAACATCGTTTATCAAATATTTATGACTTCCATTGAGAAGAAATATTTCTATCCAATGAAATAGTTCACTCTGAAATAATTTTACCTTCAGAAATGTGGTGTACGATTTCAACACAGCTTTATCGTGGCCTCTATATTCCAATTGAATACGTGGAAATAATCGATCCAATTCAACAATCAAATCTTGCTTAAAAGATGGCCTAAAATTCAAATATCTAAGAAATTTAGGACTACAAAAGTAATTTTCGGCATGTTTCGAAATAAAACCAGTAATTTATTTCCTATACTTTATTATGTAATATTATTCAACGTATTACTGAAAAGCAAGACAAATATAATCGTATAGTTTTCATGTCATTTCAAGAACAGTGTTTAACATTTTTAATCCCTCTTCAAAAATTCGAACGCCACGATAGTGTGAACCTCATGTGAACAGCTCATCACTTCTAGTTCACGAAATTTACAATATAAGATAAACGGAACTTACGTTAGTGGTGTAGCTATACGTGAATAAGGTCGGGCTGAAGTCATTCCAACAGATAAACAATGCATATCGAGAAAAGCTCGAAGAACGGTACGCATGCGTCCAAACATTTCCGCGCGTAATTAGTGACAGTTAGTACATCTTGCTGTCGCCACCTTATCCTATCAAAGTTAATGAATGCCGAAGAGAAAAGTTGCCAGAAAAAAACTCACAATCGTATTTTTCTTTTCCGGAGCAATACAGACTACTTTCATCACCCATGGGCTGCTGTTTTGTACAACAGTCAAAATTAAGTTACCTTCAAACAAGCCGTCAAAGGATAGCTATTGGAATTATCGTGACATTACATCAATTTCAATATCATAATATCGTGTAATCAATCACAAATAAATCCCATTATATTGGCATTTCGAATATGCCAAAAGCACACCTGCATCATTTAACGAAACATTCCCACTCCCCCTGTTCCTCCACATGAAATTTAATTTTCTCAAAAATATCTCAAGAATTTAGTCCAACTATTCCTGAGCTTCGTCTTAAGCTTTAGTCATTTCATTTAAGCCGCAACATATTGTTGTTCTGACCTTTAATGTGTGCAAAAAAAAAGAACGAACAAACAAAACATAGTGACTTTGATAAATCCACTGCAATGCAATGAATGCTAACACAAATGGAAATATCATTTTGCACAAAAAAAAAAAAGAAAAAAAAGAAACCAGTCAGCAATTAAACCAAGCACCCAACAAAGTACAGAAGACAACAATAATATTTGCTATTTTACGTAATTAGCGCACACGCAAATTCTCTTCATTCAAGATAAACGATCATTTGAAGGGCAGACAGAACAAGACCACCAAAATGTTCAAATACCTCATAATACTCTCTTAAACGTGAAGACCCAACAAATAATCAAACATTTCCAGAAAAAAAAAAGGAAAAATTGGTTCAATTTTGCGATAAAGAATAAACTATTAGGGAAATTGCCCACAATATACAGGTTCACTGCGACGAAATTCGAAGTAGCTCTTCAATTTCCCTAAAATGTCAACAGATGATATAACACATCCTGATGTACTTCATATTTCCATTACAAAACAACGATGCTGTCGAAATACATTGCATGAGCGACGTGTGGTGATACACTTTTCAATAGCAGATATCATACGTTCAACATGCGCTGTACTGCACACCAACACTAACAAAATATTCGCTACATTGATCAAGCAGTCCTGGATATCTACCTAATACATGAATTATAATTTTTATAAAAAAAATTCAAAGGATTTCAGCGAAGACTTACAATTAAGAGAAGGTTAAAAAAAAAAATAAGACTGTCAGGACGGCCCGAAATTCTTCGAGAAACTAGTTAATATAATATGATTAGAACCCAATGGAAACAAGCAATATATTAAAACTAATGCTAGCTGTTCATATAAAATACAGAGAAGCTAGTAATAAAAAAGCACAGGAGAAAACAATACACAAATACCTCGTAACAAAGGAAAGAGCACAATTGCTGATGATGTTCTGAGTAGAAAAGGAACACCATAAATATACATGGGTTCATAGAAATTGCTATAGTTCAGAAAAAGCCAATTGTGAAAAATATCCATCAAATCAGCAATCCTCTGTAACAAATCCAGCAAGATTATCAGTATGGCTAATCAATTTGATATAACTCTAGATAGTTTTATTTTTGACCATACGTTTTCAGCTTCCAGTTCTAATCACAATTTTTCGCAATTTCGAAATGAAAAGAGTCCCTTGTTACTAAACGAAAAAAAAAGCAAAGATAGAGAAAAAGCTTATGATCAACAAATTGTCCACTTCTAATAACGTTTGTTTTCATGACATTTCTTTGGTAAAATTGGCCTGAGCGCGTCGTCGTGATGGAGGAACGTAAGCATTCGGATTCTTGGTTTGAAATGATTGCGACGGAGGAACCGGATTTGGAGCCCCACTAGATGTTACCTAAAAATTCTAATAATATTTGCAACAATTTACTCAAAAATGACACGCTTCCTTCACATTTCGCATGAAAGCATTAAAAACAATAAACAGCTACTTACCTGTCTAACTGTTGAAAGGAGAGCAGTACGATCAGCATTCGATGATGACACACCACTACCACTACCACCAGCACGATGCCAGCTATTGCTGGAAGCTCCTCGATTCGTCCAAGCGCCTGATGAATCTCTATCAGATGCGACTATTGTAAAACCGTCATTTCGTCTGAAATCAGGCAAAAAAGTGCATTTCCAACCACTATGTGAGAAACTAAATACAATCTCCTAAAAGATTCTTCCAATTCGTGAAAAATCTGACAGCAGAATAGGAAAAAAAATTATGTTTATATAAAATTCCAGCACAAAATAACCTCTTTTTCTCATCATCTTTCTTTAATTTTTCAATTTTTTCCGCAGCTTCGAAAGTTGGAAATAGGTCTTGGTCGTTGATATTTGGCACTGCGCTCACTCTAGCAGTATTTTGCATCAAACAACGTGGTTTCCAAACACCTGGCGCTTGTTTTTTAGGCACTGGTAGAATAAATTCTTCCGATTCCTTTTTCTGTAAAAAAACTAATTGTTTTAAAATTCGACACACTTTTATCTTAATCTGGTATGCTCAATATGCACCTTCATGCTAAATAAATAGATTAACGAGCCTGAAAGAATCACTACAGCAATTATCAAAGTAGGACTAGCGCTATTTATTCAACCTATATATCAAATCTCTACTTCTTTTGATTGTTATAGAACATGCTAAATTATCCATACACAAACGCACATACCTATAAACACACATATACACACAAAAGACGAGTAAGACTAACAGCAAAACGGAAAAATCCCTTACCAAACTTTTCTATTAAAACTTGAAAAAAAAGACCCAAAAACTAGTATTCGAAAACCAGTGAACCTCTGCAGTGCTCCATGTTTTCGGGGCTTCATTTGTAGAGGTTTTTTCATCTTCTAGAGCTTCTTCGGTCTGCTCAGTAAGATTCATATCACGAATTCCGAGTTCTTCTAGAGCAATTTCCCTACAAAAAGTCGAAAAAGACAAAATGAATAAATCATCGTTCGTGGAAGAGATTTTCTATTTACACTATCAGTATCTACGAAGAATAGATTTAAATATCTTCCACAAATTACAAGGTAAAAATAACCCAAACATTGTTTAACAAAGAAAAATACTAAAAGACGAGCTCATTCTAACCCATATCTGCTATTTCAAACTTGTATTACATTCTCCAAATTTAAAAGTGAGCAAAACAACAAAATAGAAACGGACGAACTTATTTGTATCTTTGTATTCAAGCCATTCAGAATCTTCTGGACGTTTATCAAAAAAAGCTGCATCATCTTGGGCACGTCGTTCTTCTTCCTCATCTTCACGATCTCGTTCTTCCTGAGAGAACACAATTACACTCTATGCTGTTGACGGCTAGAGATAATATGAAGTATTATTGATGACATCTCTTTTATCTTCCACATTTGCTGCTCATTGCTCTCAGAAAGCAAATTTCTTGCACAGTAAGGATAAGAAGATCCCCTTATCTTCCCTCCTCCGTATTCGTTTTATTACATAATAAAAATTCTTAAATTCCTTATAACTCGATCTTTAGTACCATAATACTCCAATACATGCAACGAAATCGACAATCCAACAACTGACCTGCCGTTTCGCTTTTCTTTCCAGCACCTGACCAACCTCATCGACACTCAGCTTCACTTTTTTCTTCTTATCTTTCACTTTAGCAGATTTTTTGGCAAAAAATTGTGACAGATCGTCACCCATCTGTAAATTTCATATAATTAGTGACATCTAAAATAGATTTGTATACAGGTATTCTTATTAAATAAACATAAAAAACTTCATCAGACCATTCTCTTCAAATTCCCGTTATTCCACTGTGGAAAAAGTGCAAACGGAAGTAAATGGGAGTGCTATCCGAACCCAGAATCCAGAGTAAAAACTGGCACAGATATAACAAAGAATTTGCATAATTTTACACAAAGATGTCAAACACCGCCTATTTTATCATCCTACAATCACTTGCTTCAATTTATAACGATAACATTGTGAAAAACGTCTTGTAGGTCAGCCAGCTAACATACATATAAGAAAATCATCCATAGTCTTAATTATTTATGGGAATAGCAGTGTTTTACGTTCTTCTTCCCTTGTCTATATGAAATGTACCGCTTCCGTCGTTTCCTTTTCGCAGATCGTGTTTTCAGGTTTACTTCATCACATTTCACAACAAGGTAGTTGCAAAAATATGATAAACACATACAAATATGGAAAAAAATAATGAAATATTACATTTCTACTCCGCAAGAGTCCAATATATTTACTTTTCGAAGCAAAATAGTTGCTTTACCTTATATCTCTATCGATTCGTATAATAGATCGCTGATAATATGTAAAAAAAATCCAATTTTTAGCTATAGTTAAATTGTTGCGTATTCCAGGAAGAAAATTGCAAATTAGCAACAAAAATACATCAGAAAAGTTCGCTAAGATCCAATTTTGCACTCCAAATAATTGGTTATTGATAAATTGATTGGCGATGACAGCAATCAATACAAGCGATCCGTATACTATGATATCACCTGTAATATCCAAATAATTGGAAAAAATAAAAAGCTACTATGACCATCGGATATATATTCCCGAGCATTATTTAGAACAATCCAGAAAACTTCTGGAATCATTCATAAAGCAAGATTTAATAAGCCGATTATTTTATCTGTCTATATTGCCAATTTCTTCATACTCCCTCAACTGCGCTACTGACGATATTGCGTACAGTTGCTGTTGCAGTTAACCTATCTGCGAAAATAACCATATCTGCACATTTAAAATAGGTCATTTTCAACAGTGAAAAGTAGAAGACAAAATTTCACTCGGTTCTGTCGTTCAAAGTACAAAAATAAATGAAATAATTGGCAATTTATTTTAAATAATCGCAAAGCTCACTTCCCCGCCCATAATACTTGACAGGAAATTAAGATGAGCGTGGAAATCCAGTTTGTTATTAGTCATAACGCCGCCTATCACTATTCGACTAAAAGATGCTATTAGATACTTATTACATTAATAACTTTTTATAAACTCAAAAATTTAAAGATCCGCTCAACCTCAAGAGAAATAATCAATAACTAATGATAAATCGCAATAATTGCTCAATTTAGGAATGGAAATTTAAAGCTTTAACCCAGAATAACTTACAGTAAATGCCAAGATAAGACTATCTGCCAAGATAAGACTACCTGAATTCCTCAGTATTCTCACAATCTGGTCCGATGTCACACGTATAATATGTGAATGATTCCTATCAGTCCTCTATTTCACCCTTCGAAATGTTCCAGCTTCAGATTTTCTTTTTGCGTAAGTGCACTAAAGCTCCCCTTGCCTTAAATATTGATTCACCCGAACAATACCCTTCGTATCGTTCAACCAGTCAAGACGATTTCGAAAGTTGTGAAAACTTGCATAATTCACGTGAATAACCGTTTTATGACTTACGTTTTTCTTCATTGAATTCCGTCACTTTCCTGTACTCACTCCCCTATTCCTCTCACTGTTAATTCTCATCACTTACCATAACTAAATGTCACCTTTCATCTCTCCAACACTGTTTCCCATACAATTCATACAACTCTCACGTGTCGTACATAATCCATGTCTCATTCACGTTACCTAAATGTGTAAATGCAAGATTTTTGCCTCTTTTTCCTCAAACCATGTAAATCCCATCGTATGTCTTAGATTCATTAATGATACATGCAATTACGCAATATGACGCATCCTATTACTCATTCATATGTAGCGCAAATATACCAGACTAATTAACATACAAACGTACGTAGATCATCATGTGTACACAATGACTAACATATTCTGTGAAAAATGAACAGTACATGTCTCACCGCAAACTCTGACCCCGCCCTACCAAATTTTCCAGACTAATTAACATATAAACATTCGTAGGTTACCATGTGTACACGTAAGTTAAGGTATTCCGTGAAAGATGAGCAATACATATTTAACCACACATCCTAATCCTATCATCCCAAAACTCACATAATTAACATACAAGCGTATATAGATCATTATATTCACACGTAAGCGAACATATCCCGTAAAAGATGAACCACACACCCTGATCCCGCCTTACCATCACCAGGTTAATCATAACAATCGATATTAGTGTTTTTTTTTCTCTTTTTTCCTTGAACAGAAATGAAACACTGGAAAAAGGAAAAGCCTATCAGAAATTTATACACACTTACCAGAAGTTTCGGCTTGGTATGATCGCCGTATTGTTGTATGCTATTGTAAGTGACTTCACGTCCTGGATACTTTTGCAATGACTTAATTGACGTTTAACTGATAGGCTTGAAAAGACGAAAGTTACGTAGCACCCGCAGGTCATCCTCATGTGAAACACACACACACACGCTCCAACTACCGTGTCCGCTACGGGATGCACTCGTAAAAGTTTTCACTTCAAGATCTAACTTTGATTTGAATCATTACGTAATCCTCAATGTTTCATGTGCAAACTGTAATCAAACTTTCGCTTTAAGACCAACAAAGTTTTCTTTAGCTTTCTTCCATCTTTTATTTACTAGACGATTTTCTTTTAGATTTCTTCATTTCTCCGTAATTGTGATAAATTTCGTTTATATGTGTCGATTTGAGCATGTCTTTCCTTTTTCTTTTCAGTTTTTAGTTTTCAATTTTCGATTCAAACTTTTGTTTTGTTTAATTTTTGATCTTATTTCAGTTTTCATTTTCAATTTTTAATATAAATTTCTACTGCTGATTGTCGATTTTGTTGTTAACGTAAATTTGAATATAATTGTTACTTTCATTTTATTATCGAATTCTTAATCGGTAGCTTTGGTTTGGATTTTTTAATTTCAGATCTCAAATTTTGATTTTGATAAAAACAGGAAAGGGAGGGTGTGATGCAAATACGCGAAATGGTGCATGTAAAATTTTTCCAGCAAAACGATTATTTTTTAATGCAAAGCAATATTAAACAACAGCATAGGAATTTATTCTCGATTATGCCATTTTTAAGACAATATGTAGATGATTAATTCCATATTTAGCGAGTTATTTCGTATCCTCCTTTTATAAAAGATTATGAATAGAATGTATTATATGATTTATTAAAGAATTCTGAATAGAATGAACGATCTCTAAGTTTTCGAGCAAAACTTTTTTTCTGTTTTACACGAGTTATTCGTCGACGTAAATGCGCAGTGTTTCATCATGTCCATCGAAGTCTTTTTTTTTTTTCTTTTTTTCAGGACGCCAAGAATGTTATCAACCGGTCGTATCGTTGGTGTAGGATGTCGAAATTGCCGGTTGATATTGCGTAACTTGCTAAGTCCGGAAAGCAGCATGTTTGAAAGTCGAGCAAATTTCAAGGTTCCTTTTTTAATGTACTTCGCAGAGAGCATAATATACCTAAAATTTGGATTTATCCAGTGATATTTTCAATGTACTTCTGCATCAACAAAACTATCTTGTGAAAACAGATGAAATAATTAACAAAAATTCGACGTATTCATTTGTTTGATAACACAGATCCCGGAATCCGTGATAACATTAAACTTTAAGATCGTATAAACAATTCCAAGTTAGTAACACACAATATGTTCTAGGTCCGGCAGCAGCTGAAACTTCGATGCCCACACTGTTACTTTATTCGAGCTGATGGTCGCTGGGAAGTGCGATGCACGGAGTTTGCAAAACATCATCAGAAGGAACCATATAATGTGAAGTTGTTATGGTGAATTCTCGAAAATGTATTGAAGCCGAGAAAATGTTTATACATTGTGATAATATGAATTGCTTACATCTTTATGGAGCGCTCAAACTGTTTGCACGTTCTGATAATACGCTATCCACACTGTAAATTATACACTGTAGCTATTCTGGTGCGCTATTCAAGTATTGAAAATCAGGATTTAATTCTCTTGCAATAAAACTGCATTTACAAAACTCGTTAGCTCACTTTCTTGTTGACATTAATGGCCATTCTGCCTAATGATATGCCAATATGAGTTTGATGCGGATATATTCATATGATTGATATAATTAACACGATTAATTCACGAGTTCAGGTAAATTATATTTCGGGTAGCTTTCCTGTGGAAAAATTTGAAAATCTTAGTGTGTCATACTGGGTCTTGACAGGATGAGCTCCATAGAGGTTGATGCATGTGTCGAAATTTTGGAAGATCATTTTGGTCCAATAGCAGCTGCTGTTGGAAGTGTGTTGCTAAACGAGGCCGTACCATTACCTGTTATATTCCAGAGATTACGGAACCAATTCAGGATTCCCGAGGTTAGTTCCTACAAAGTTATGGTATTGGTCTGTGGCTCATTTTTAATGTAGTATGTGCTTCTCAGGTAATAATTGTATTGTCCTGGGAGCTAGTTTTGCTTTCGATACCACTGTTTCTAAACTTTCGAAAATTCGGAATCGTTTTGAATGAGGCAAATTTATGGTACTAAACAGTGCTAAGCAAAGCATTATTAGCTTCATGTTGCTGGGACGTGTAAAGGATTTCTAATGGTCCTTTTTTTATGAGATGTTAAAAAGGAAGATAAATAATGAGTTTACCTATGAACGGGTAAATCATTACGTTTGTTCATGAATAAATCATACGCTGCAAATTATACTTTATTTGAATAGATGCGTTTTATTATAAGACGATGATTTTGTGATTGAAATAGGATTTATTAAGAAATGAAAGACTGTTAGACAAATAATCTCAGTTTTTCAGAGGAAATTGAAAATTTTTTGAATGAATTTATATAATTTAAAGAGTATAAAGAGTTGACTGTATTTTTTTGAAGATAAGGCGAGCAATGGTAATTTTGGAACAACATGGAATCTTACAATTTACTCAGGATGAACGTCAACGCATAATTTATTCTGCACAAGTTATTGACATTCTACGTTTAGTACGATCAGCCAGATGCTCATTTGTTGCTAAAACGTTATATGGTGAAATAGCGGAAGCAATTTGTGAAGAAATAATCAGTCAAGGGCGGCTGACATGTTCATCATGCATCAGACGAGTTGTTGCTAGGTTGGAAGTATCGATTAATGAGGTACGGTTTTAATTTTTTGATTTCCAATTCGTAAGACACTATCACTGATAATACGAGCATAAAAAGCTTTGTCAGAAGAAGATGCATTGCAATGAATATCGAGACATTTGGAATATATTTGTGGTGTTATTTTCTTCAACCATATGAAACGTCCCATAGAAATTCAATGATTCGAAACTTATGGGATGAAGTAATCTTTACAAAATATCATTTATAATCTGGACCTGTAGAAATTTCAAGAATCTCGAATTAAGATGGAACATGTAATATTACATGATGAGTTTGGCTTAAATTTTTTGATGCTACACTCATGCAATGCAGTAGGTCATTTAATAATGATTTTATTGGCATATGCGAATTTTTTGGGGAAAGTGATTTGGCTTGGATGAAATATTTAATTTTATTTCTTTTCTTTCCATTTTTTGTTCAATGTTTAATTTTTCTCCAGGTGAAAACAGCCTTTGCTAGGCTTGCTGAAACACAGTTTGTTATGCGATATCCCAAGGTTGAGAGTAATTTTTGTGGATGTCCTATTTTTGAAAAGCATCCGGACCCATTTATTATGCCGGATGTGATTCTGAATGCAAAGAAGCTCGAAATCAATGGTAAGTTTTTTCAAGTTGATTCATTTAAATAATTGTGTTAGACATGCTGCTGGTACAGAAGCCCAAATATTCTGAACCGTGATGTAATTCGAGAGCCACTTTAGGACATATTGGTTGCGGAGATAATTCCTTTTTTTCTTTTTCTATCAGCTGTGCTGATAACCTTTAACAAACAGTAGAATAGCTTTAGAATTTAACTCTCCTTTTTTTTCTTACACTATGCTTTAAGGTACGTTCTAAAATACTGGAAATATTCCCCTACTAGGTTAGAGTATTTGGCGAAGCACTGTTATTAAAAATGCAAAACAGAGCTATTATAAATCAGTTTGCAGTGGACAGCAAATCTCGAAAACGGAAAAACCTAAGCAATGAAGAAGATGATCCGGATGGTAATATTTATTGGCATTTGAATTATATTCGTTTTGAACGATATTTGCGTGATGAAATGGTTGTTAATGCATATGAATCCGGTGATGCTGTCCACGAAAATTGCGTGAAAACCTTGAGAATCTTACTGAAAATTAGTGAAATCAAGGCAGATTCGTCAGCTGCCGCTTCTTTCCCCATATCTGTAAGTTATAAACGATGCAGAAGTTTCTCGAAGAAAGAAGGATGAATGTAATTCTGGTGAGATAGTGAATGTTGCGCAACATTTTTTTCTCTTTTGTAAGTGTTGTATGGTCATTCTCTTGATGTGGACTAATCTCAACCAAATCGAACGTCCACCTTTAAAAAAAAGCTGGCACTAAATCGATCCCCTTCCCCCTCCCCCCCTCTCCTTTAATGGTTTTGACACAGCTTGCTCAGAACATTGTATGTCTGGCATGTTTGAATTTGAATTCCCATTCATTTTATTTAACTTTATCTTTTGCACAACTTTTGGAGCACGAGTTTGAAATAAGTATAGAAGGATTTTTTCTTTTTTCAGATTCATGACGTTCTGCGAGCTGCAAACTCGAATGAAGTAAGTTTAGGAAAACATGATATTGAAGTGGCATTACGATTGCTATGTGAAAGTGGTGGAATTGTACGAAAAGTCGGAGACAGTGCGGGTGGTCTTTTTGTTATTGGTAAGTCGACGACACTTAACTTTATCTGTATGGCCATAAGTTGTCTTTATTATGCGCAATCTGCTATTTGCTTTAATGTGTGAAGAATTTATTCTTCTAATGGGATCAGTTTCTCCCCATTTATATTCCCTTTTTATTCAAATTTATTCCTGAACTAGTCAATGTAAAATCTGTTGCAGATTTTGAAAAAGCAATAGCTACTCATTGCCAACGTCATGTTGAATCAGCAATTCGAGAAAGACTAGATATGCGTGCTGTTCGGGTTTTTCGACTTCTTATGCAAAAAGGATTTCTAGAAGAAGATCATGTCAGTTTCATGACTAATTAACTTTGGTAGTTTTACATAGAATCAATGAAATAAATATAGGATTTATCGGTGACATTTCCTTTTACCAAATAGGACAAATTTCAAATGAAGAAATTTTGTGGTTGCAAAATGGAAAATTCTTGAAGGGGTAAAGAGGATTCAATGACTTAAAATTGTAGATTTTGCTTGAGCTCATCAACATTTCCTATTTATATAGTGCACCGTTTTCCTTGATGGTGATAAAGCTTCATATCGGATATGGTCGAACCTCATCTTCCCGATTAGGGATCGTGCTATAGGATCGTCTTGTTGAATGCATAAATGTTTAGAATTGTGCAAAGAAATGATCAGCGATTTCATTCTGGCGTTATTCGCAATATGTCCTTCAGTGGAATCGTTCGAAGAATATAGTCGCTTATGAGTTTCACAGTTGTGAGAGAGATCCACAATACGTGTCATTCAGCCTTTATTAATATGCTGATTAATTTGTCATCAAAATAAAAATATTATTATTGCAGGTTGAAAAATTAGCCATGTTATCATCGACGGAGGCACGCAAGCTTTGTTATCAATTACTGGAGCAGGGATTTGTTTTAATGAAGGTATATATTATATTCGGTTTTTGTTTGTTTTTTTTAAATAAAAATTGTTTTACGGGATTTCCATTGGTATGCAGCAAGCTTGTTGGAGGAATTCATAGACTCTTGAAATTTCTTTAATTTTAATTGTTTTAATAATATTATGAGAGGTCTGGCGTAGTTTAAGGTATTACATTACGTTTAAATTATAGAATACTTTTTACGGCTGATGGGATTGATGAGGATTAATCCTATCAAATAATTGCCAATGAAGCGTAATATTAAATTGTAAAAGCGTTAGCACTGTGAAAGAAAGTGATCCATGTGTTTATACACATATGCTTATCATTAAAGTGTGAAACTGTGGTTTTTGAACGTAAAATCATAAAGAACTTTTGGGTCAAATAAATCAGCTTTTTTCATTGCGATTTTTATACTTGTCTTTTCTATAATAGTCCCGACTTATTTTTATTATGAGTTTTGGTACACTTAGATTCTTTATTCTCTACTTCTTTATGTTTCATTTGATGCACAGAAATAATTGCTCCATTTTTTTCAGCATGTGGCTAAAACGAATGATTTTGCACCAGCGCGAACAATTTATCTTTATTATGTTGATTTAAGTGTCGTAGCTCACAATTTATATTTATTTACTTGCAAGGTATATTTTTAAATTATATATGTGACTTTTTTAAATTTTCCCTTTGAATTCATTGAAAATGATTGGAATTCAGCGTTTGAATTATAATATTTCTTGTTTATCAAATTGTCATTTGTCGTTCCGATCTAAGAAAATAGCGTTCTTGTACCAAACTATCGTTGATCTTACAAAAAATTGTAACCAATCCGTTTGATATAATGCTAAATATCGTAATTATACCGACTTATTCATAAGTCTTTCGTCAGTGCTAATTTCAAAATCAGCAAACCTTTATAGGTATTGAGAAATGTAATTATACGAAGGCGTCATGAAACTAAAGAACACAAGTAAGTTTCTACCGTTTTTTCCATGCTTTCAGTTTTTGATTTGTAGTGAGCTTTCTAACTGAATTTAAAATGTCTTCTTAATTGAACTTTTTTTTCCGTCATAATAGCATTACATAACTGTAGACTTGTAGTTTAATGAAAATATTTACATTAAATAAAAATTTATATAAATATCATGAAGGGAAAGGGAGAGGAACTGTGATTTAGTAAGAAATAGTTTCAAAGTAAAATTTAATCATGTGGCATAAGATTGAATAAAATAACTTTGTCTTCCAACGACTGAATTCACTTTCAAATACGGGAACTATTGCTGAGAACTCCTTTCTTTTAATTCAGCA